CTATCTACAGAGTCTAATTTCAATAACTGCCAGCACTTTTTGCTTTGCAAATTGCTATAAGCCTCAATGCTCTCATACTAGTAATCTAAACACTAAAAATAAATACAGGTGATATTCATTTTAGTGATTGATGCTCTATTATTTTTCAATCTTCTCATTGGGAAGACATCCACTCTATATAGATTTTCTCAAAGCTAAACTATTTTTAAAATTAGAAGCAAAATTATACAGACCCCAGCTGTGAAATAGTTTTCTCCAATTAAAGTGAAAAACCACACTAAATTTCTGTCCAATATATTCATAATAGCATTAAGCAGACATACAAAAAAAAAAAAAGAAGAAGAAAGAAAGAATCAGACCAAGTACTTGGAATCTCTAAAATTTTCAAAATTTTTGATTTGAGAATCATAAAAATGATAATAAAATAAAAATGCAATTAGAAATGTTAACTCAGTGAAGGATAAAGGGATTCATAAATATATTAATGGAATACAAAGTTTATAACTAAGTACAAATTAACAATGATATTTATTCCAAGGCTGTAATGAACTTCCACACAGAGGAAGTGTAACATGCCCCGGAAGAAATGTCAGTGTTTTCTAGTAGCTGTTAAAATGCTTTATTTGAATGTGGACTGTTAAAAATCCAGTAAGCAATCCAGTTTGTAGACTCAGAAAACCCCTATGCAGCACAGGCAAAAGCAAACCATTGAGAGGAAAACAGGTGAGTCTTCCTACCCAGGCTCCTCCTCCTGACATATTAGAAATACTACTTGAAATCTGGCCTTAAGTTTGATGTTCCTGTGCCTGGTGGATTCCACTGGCAACCAAGCAGATTCATCACAGTGGTCACAGTGTAGCACTTACCTTGAGTTGACAGTGAACTTGGTATAGTAGGAATCAGACTGGCTCAACTAGTGGGAGACCTGCTCTGGCACTGATTGTAAGGTAAGGCCAAATATTTATCCTCCCTATGTCTTGGTTTCCTAACCTGGAAATAGTCCTACTCATGGACAGTTTAAAACTAATAAAGTAATCAGAATCATATCAACAACCTCAGCCTGTCTGGGTAAAGATATGGAACTTTCAGTGCCCAACCCCAACCCCAACCTCTGGGAGGGGAGAGGTACTGGAGACTGAGTTAATCACCAATAGCCAATGATTTAATCAACAATGCTGATGTAACAGAAGCTCCATAAATATCCTAAAAGATGAGATTCGGAGAGCTTCTGGGTTGGTGAACACATCAAGGTGCTGGGAGTATGGCATGCCCAGAGAGGGCATGGAAGCTGCGTCTACCCTCCTTACCTGAAACTGCCCTATTCTTCTCTCCTGTTTGGCTGCTACTGAGTTCTATCCTTTATAATAAACAGGTAATAGTAAGTGAACTGTGAGCTATTCTAACAAATTATCGACTCTGAGGGGTGGAGTAATGGGACCCCCCAATTTAGAGCTTGTGGGTCAGAATCAGAAGCATAGGTAGCCCAGACTTGTGAGTGGAGTCTGAAGTGAGGGAGGGCAGTGTGGCGGAGTGGGGCCCTTTATCTCTGGGGTCTGTGCTAACTCCACATAGTTAGTATCAAAATTGAATTAAATTGTAGGACAGCTAGTTGATGTCTACAGAGAGCTGAAGAATTGACTGGTCTAGAAAACCCATACATTTGGTGTCAGAAGTGTGAGGAGGAACAGACTTTGTAGTATAAGCTAAGATGATTGTGGATACCCGAAAGAGTCAGTTACAAATTAATGTAGGTACATAAAAATACCATAAGCTGGGAAAAATAGTTAATTGGTTATTAAAATACTATGAGATAAAAAATCATCAGTGCCAAATATATTCCCAAATAAATGATTTGTTGAAATAGCTAAATGCTAAAAACTGTACACAGCTAAATATTTTCCAACATACTTACATGACAGCATAAAGCAAAGATCCCTAGAATTACTATAGTTATACCTATACTTAGGCATACCACCCTATTACTCTTTTGGTTTTTGGTGGGTTTTTTTTGTTTGTTTGTTTGTTTTCCCCTATTACTCTTTATCCTATCATCCTCGGCATGCCTAAATTCATTAAAATGGCCAAACTTTTTCAAAATTTTCTTCATTTAAGATTGCCATCATTTAAGATGCCATCTTCACAAAAACACCACCATATTCAAGAAGACTTGATTATGGCAGCTTGGTAAAGGGGAACAAGCCCAAGCATTAGTATCTGATAGACCCATCCTGGAATCAGCCACTCATCACATGATCTTGGGCAAGCTACTAAACTTGTCTTACCTTCAGATTTCTCAAGGCAAATAAGAATAATAATAATAAATGCAAAGTTGGATTGTTGTGGGAATTAGAGCTAAAGCAAAGACAATGCCTGGCATATGGCAGATGTTCAATAAATGCCAGTTACCTATAATACTTACACAGCTGGTATTTGCTTATAGAAGTTTATAATTACTCCATGAATGTTAATTTCTTTTTCCAACCAACTATAAGTTCAGTGAGCACAAAATCTTTTTATAGTACTTCTTTTGAATGTTTCACAGTCTAGTAGACCAGTTGGTATACAGTAGCACAAAACCCAAATTCACATCCCTAGAATCATAGATACATTAAGAGTTCTTAATAACCCTAAAGAGGAAGAAATGAGACAGCTTTAATTATGAAGATAACAGTGGCCATCAAACTACTGTTGTGACTAAGGAGAGAGCAAAGTAGAGGATTCCTGAGTGGCTGACCCCTGAGAGAGTGCAGATATCCATGGAATGAGAGAATGGAAGCCGTTGAATGAAGTCCTGGGCTGAACTGGGCTGTGAAGAGAGTTGGAGGTTTTGGAAGAATGGTGGATTATAGAAGATTAGAGACAAATTTAAAGAGAGTTGTATGTCAGGGCTTTTTGAGTAAAGTGATAGGGAGGTGAGAAGCATGAGGAAGTATGAGTGTGGAGGCAACTGAAAGATCTGAGTTAAGCTTAGGGTGGCTTAAAGAAGAGCAATTTTCATCCATGAGTAAGACTTACACAGAAGTAACTTCATTTCAAGCCCCCCAGAAAGGTCAATGAATCAGCTCTGGTCTGGTACTGGCATTGATTGTTTTGAAGAAAATACGTTTGTAAATATGAAATACTTTATAATTCTCAAAAACCATTTATATTATTTGAAATATATCTGTTTTACATTAAGAACAGATAATTATGTACCACTGCATTTCTGTTAAAAACCTAGATTGAGAAGTTGCTAGAGATTATTAGACTACGTTGATGTTTTACCTAAATGATCACAACGGCCATCTTTAAGCATCTGTAAGGTATAAAGCAGTGAGGAGAAACTAGGAGCTGTCAGCCAAAGGAATGTTCTTTTAGTAGCAGAAAAAACACGGTCAGAGAATTTAGAGATGTCTGGTTACAAAATTAATTTAATTTTCAATTCACCAAAGCTTCTCAGAGTTAAGGGGCCTTTCTTAAACCTGAATATAAAAGTTATTTCGATAATGATGGTGGGTTGCCTAAAGCTCAAAAGGGAGAAAATAAATCAGGACCCAAATGTGAAGCAATGAACATAGCTCTTTCTGTCTCCATAGACAGAACTGTGTGTTTAAGTTCCGAAGAGGGACCCTCTCAACAAAAATGACTTTGGGGACTGGAAGAGTAGTGAAGGGGACTACTTTTCCAAGCTCTTACACCAGTTCTAATTAGACTTGGAAGACTCCAGAGTTAAAAGAAGAAAAAGAGTAAGAGTCTATTGTAAACTTCCTAGAAGGATACCTGTCTGTGTACACACCTACATCTTTAAATTTACTCCTAAGAGCTTTAAGATACTTAAAGGTCATTCAGTTTATACAGATATTTTAATAGTGTTATTTATTTTTTAGAAAAGTTTAAATGCTACACTCTGGGATTTATCTTTCTTTCAACTCTCCCTATTTGAGGAAGGAGATTTATTATCAGTGCTAAAGATCAACCCTGGGGCCAGCACAAATGGTAGTAGATATCAGAAATGTCTCAGAAGAAGATAGAAAACACCTCTTGGGAGCAAATGCCTTTTTATAGCTCAAGTCAATTTGAGTGGCAGAGGCACAAATAAACAGGAAAAAGGAGTCAAAACTTACTGTGGAAATGTTCCACACCATTGTACCCATATATTACATGATATACAAAAAAATCCTTACTACATAATTCTCTCTTGGTATGGTATGACTAATTTTCACTTCATTCTTATATTACCTTGAACCTGTTACCCACATACATTTTTTTTTCTGTTTCTCACTTGCTATTCTCCATTCTCTCCCAACATTTAGTTAAAGAAATTTTGATCTTCTACAGCAGGGGAAAGAGGCAGAAAGTTAGCCAAATGGTCTCAAAACTTATTGGGAAACCTTCTGCTTAGAGGAGAACCCTGTTTAAAGTAAATATTTTATTTCATTTGTTCTGTTTTGTTTTGTTTGTATGCATAAACATAACTCATAGAGCTGAGAAAACAGTCTGTGAAGTATAAATAGACCATGTTCAAAGTTTTATCTGGAGCTTTATAAAGGGACCAAACCTAAGTTTTCTCTATGTATGATCATTTACCTTCTTCTTTGTAGTGCCCAGGACAGCATGCTTCCTATGACCTAAAAGGCTAGATTGACTTTGCCTATTTTGGAGACGACAGAAGTCGAATTGAGGGCTGCACAGACTTGTTCAAGGTCATACAGATGATAAAAGGCAGAGCATAGCTTCTCACTGATTGTTCCTTCTACCACCAGCACTACACATAATTGGATTTCCTTTCTTCTGAAGACTCTAAGAAGGATCATTTGACAACAAGACATAATTTAGCCTCCATACCTTAAAGAGGCATCACTCTACTATCTTTGAAACAGAATAGAATTTTCCAAGCAAAGAACCTGGAAATGGAAGCTATGGACGCCATGGGGACAGAACAAGGCAGAAAGCATTTCCCTTAAATACATCTATGTTCAATGCCCTAGACTGAAGAACATTGTCATTTCAAAGTCACTTACCCAAATCTGAAGCTTGATTCTCTTTTCATTTTTGAATACGGTTTTTACTTTGAAATCGATCCCAACTGTGCTGACGAATGCAGATGTAAAGGAGTCATCCGCATAACGGAACAGGAAAGATGTTTTCCCCACACTGCTATTGCCGATGATGAGCAATTTGAACATGTAGTCGAAGTTCTGATCAGAGGAGTCTTTCTGGCCATACCGGGCATCTTGGGAAGAGGCCATCTGTGGTTAAAAAAGAGAGAGAGAGCAAGAGAGAGATGTGGATCAGTCTTCCATTTGATATGAAGCTAGCAGCACATTCATTATTGGCCTTGCCAGAAACAGATGTCAGACCACTCGGGAGACCAGTTGAGCATCCTCCCCAGTTTTCCTCTGATGCTGGTATCCATGGCAATAATTGCCTGCTGGAAGACAGAAGAGCAAATCTTACAGCTCTTTCCAGCTGTGTTGGTGTTTGTCACTGCTCAGCATTCAGAACCAATCAATCAAAGACACCAAAGGAGACATCTATAAGGGTTACATGAAAAGCAAAGATATGAGGAACTGGCCAGAGCATGTGGGCTCTGAAACTTTATAATCCCAGTGATGGACACACCAGTGTCTGAACAGCATGGTGTTTCTTACTGAATTATCTGAATATTAGAGTCTCTCTTATTTCCTAGGAAAGTACACCCAAAGCATGTATCTATTTCATCTATTAACATCACATTAAAGCAACATCCTAAAATAAATGGCAGTCCCTTCAAATTAAAAATGACAATGGCAAGTATTTATAGTTCAAACACTGTGAGAAACTTATTTAACCCTAACAACAACCCAATGAAGTAGGTTCATATGCAAATGAGAAAATTGAGGCTCAGAGTTATTAAGTAATGTGCTCAAGTTCACACAGGTGATGAGTAGTAGAAGACAGAATTCAAATCAGGTAATGTCGTGACAGGGCTCACGTTCTTAACCTCTACTCTAGCTTTCAATGATGACTAGGGAAATATGCACATGTGCTCTAAAAGACAATGTAGGAAATATTCATTATGAAATGCAACACTGAAGAATCCTAGCTGGGTTCAAACCTTGGCTCTACCATTTCCTGGCTGTGTGACTTTGGGTTGGCTTATTATTTTAAAATAGTGTGTCTCAGTTTTTTCTCTTACATGAAATGGGAAAAAAATATTATCTAACTTGGAACATTTGTAAAAGAATAGATGATATATCTGTAAAACAGATATGTGAAGCACTAGCATAGCATAGAGAATGATCTTTATGATTAATTATAAATGCTTTATATGGATGTTGATTTTTTTCTCACTTTTTTGATGATCACCTTAATATCACCAAAGTTGATGCTGCCTTACTTCTTAAGGATTTTATTCATTTATTTTAGGGAGAGAGAGAGAGAGCAAGCAGCAGGAGGAGCAAAAGGGGAGGGAGAGGGAGAGAATCTCAAGCAGACTCTGGGCTAAGCATGGAGCTAAGGTGGGGCTCGAACCCACGATACTGAGATCATGACCTGAACCAAAACCAAGAGTAGGACACTCAACCAACTGAGCCACCCTGGTACCCAGTGATGCTGCATTACTTCTAAGTGCCATTCGGCTCAAAAGAAGTGTTTAGATGGTGAATTGCACTGATTAGTGCATTTACTTACATTTTCTGATGCTATGAATTCTTTGGCAATTGCTGTGGTATCCAACATACCCCAACATATTAGCCACTAGTCACAAATACCTCCTTATATTTAAATTAATTAAAATCACATAAAATTTAAAATTCATTTCCTTAGTCACACTGGCAACATTTCATGTGCACAATAGACAATAGCCACAGGTGGCCAGGAGCAACAATATTGGACAGACAGGTACCGGGCACTGGCATAACTGCAGAAAATTCTATTGCGCAGTGCTAGGCTAGACAGATAGTCTTTTTTTCATTTCCAATAAAATCTGATGAATAATTATCTTTCTCTTGGGGAAGGTGGCCAAGAGAGAAGCCTAAGAAGATAGTAGAATGCTTGAAACAGTAAATAGTGCTCAACCTCATCTAAGACAGCATTAGCTGTTCAAGTCACGTGCGTTGTGTTTATAAACAATTAAGGCAAAGGGGGAAAAGGAGATGGTGAGATAAATATATCCTCTTTCTACAGATATTTAGTGCCAGTAAGAGAACACAATTATATGTATAAGAATATAAGAATAAGGACAAAAAGAAAATCTGTATGTATTATTAAATTTAAGGGCAATACAAATTTTGATTTCATTGCACACTTATTAAATATCAGCTTAAGCATTTGTCTTTTTAAGTCCATGTAACCACACCGATGTCTTCAATAATTACAACTTGGAATGAGTGCTGGTGAGCGAAACTGGGCCACTACAACAGGCAGATATTATGATTTTCCCTTCTGGCCCAGGCATCTACATGCTAAAGTAAACCTCCCCCAACACAAGCAGCCAGCCAAGGACAAAAACAGGATTATAACTGTGGACTATAAGTTTGAACAACGATGTCTTGCTCTGATGACTTCTGATGCCCCAGAAAGTCAGGAAACTGTTTCATGTGGCACCCCCATTCCCACAAACATAGTCCTTTCACCAATTAATACAACCCTCCTCCCTATGGAAGTGCTAAGTTCAGCCAAGCCTGCAAATGGCGTTTATTAAGATCTTTTATATGAACCGGCCCAGATGCTAGGTTCTGGGTTAAGAATGTTCAGCTAAGCCACAGTCAGAAAATAGACACTACAACTTTCCTAGAGCTGCCCATACTCAGCCTGATAGCCTACCATATATTGCATCCCATCACTATAGGGTGGTATCCAACTGAGTCCTGTGGATCTCCAGGATGCCTCACAAGAAAATGTGACTGACAGCTGCTATCAATCCCAAGTCCTATTCCAAAAGTGGATTACAAAACCTGCAGCAATATCAACATCATCAATACAGAGACTTTTTTAGTATAGTTATAGAGATTTAGATGGAGAAAACCATATTGGGGCTTTCTCTGGGATGAGAAATTGAGGATGTTTAATTTCAAGGGCTGATAGACCCTGCAGTGTCAGTAGCAAAGAAGGTGGTGGGAGCACAGAAGGTGTCTAGGATGAAGGAGGACAAAGCTGGTAAACAGGTGTATCCAGAGCCTCTACAGGACTAATCAGAAGAATTTCCTAACATGCTATTCTTGGAGATAATTTTTTTAACTATTTCTTGATTTATATACCCAGTAAGATTCACAAAGAACCAAAAAAAAAAAAAATGTGCATTGGGAATGCATAGGTCTTTCATTAAAATTCAGAATGATGAAATACATCCTGGCCCAGAGGATTGAGAAAGAAACTTCCCTAATCTTAATGAGAATGGAAATGAAGCAGTTTGACAGCATATGAATGTCAAAGACACTTGTCTTCACTATGTCAATTTATTGACACTTCTAAATACTAAGTCGTGTGAACATTTTCAGTCTTCACGGAAAAATATAGCTGATATTTGAAAACATGAGTACATATGAAGTAACCTCCCAGAAAGTAAATCAGATTTCATAAAAGATAACTCTTGAAAAAAAGATGACTCTTTAAATTGCATTAATCTTGAATTAATTCAAAAAAATCAGGGAGTTGGAAAGAATCTTCAAAGTAGTCCAAACTTCTCCTCATTCCAAGAGTTCCTTCTGCTGGCATCTCAACATCTCAAGTTAGTATTCTAGCTGGGCCCTTCACACAGAGTGACAAAAAGTTTACTACGAGGTTGTGAAGTACCATATTCCATTGCTGAACAACTGCAATTTTTATAAATTTCTTTCTTAAAGTTAAAATCTCCTTCCCTATAGCTTCTTCCCATGTGTTCTAGATTCTGCCTTATAAATCAAGGGAGTTGATTCCTCTCCCATCTGAGAGAACTTCAGGTGACTGAAGGAACAAATCACAGCCCCATACACTTCCTCTCACTTGAATGATCCCAACTGCCTTACACTTTTCCCCACACAAGTCATGTCGGAAAAATCCCCCATATCCTGCTAGATTAACTGACATCTCTCCAGATGTCAAAGACCCATGTGTGGCTCCTGAAATTGGTCACAGTATTCCAGAAACAGTAGGGCAGAGTAAAATGAGACTATTATATTTTATCACAGCTCACTTAATTAGGTCTCCTCAAATGCTCAGGACATTTTTCACATTAACTGTAATAAACATAGGTCTCCTCTATTCCCATTCTATACTTGGGCAATTGATTTTTTTTAATGGAAATGCCAACCTTTATATGTACCCTGTTACATTTCCTCTTGTTTGTTTTGATTTACAATTCAATTCTGATCTGATAATTTTATGTCCTTTCATCAAAAACATTGGTTATCTCTTCCAGATATGCCATTCCTAAGTTTGATCAGTATGCATTTTACATATTCATTTAAGGCTCTGATCAAAATGCTAATCAGTTTGTAGACAAAAAACAATAAACCTTTTACCCCGTTGAATATATATAAATCTATAGATGAGACCTCTACGATAGGTCATCAAGGAATTTGGCAAACTTAAAGCAAAGCCTTAACCTCTGGGACTTGGTGCACTGGGAAACCATTAGGTGTGCCTTGGTTCAACAACAGGTAAACAGATCCTGGATTTAATTGATGTGCCAGTTTTAATTTCAATTCTAGTTTCCCCAGAAGTCCTACTGACTAGGGACCAAACAGATTACTTCTGACTAACACATGCAATCACAGACTACTTCAGAATTTTTGACATTTGTTTTTCAAAATAAATGGGAAAAGCAAATTACTTTCAGGGATTCCTCTGGGCACTTAATCTAAACTACACTAAGCTATTTTGTGGATCTCATGAGAAAAACAAAAAGAAGTCATTTTAAATGTACTACATTCCCACTACTTCTAGTGATATCAGCCTGAGGGTCAATGGGAAGATGAATGAGGGTAAATTATCCAGAAAAAGACATGCAGTTCTTTGAAACTGGAAGGATGAAAATGAGGATGGGGTGTATGTATTGGAAGTACAGAAATACATCAAGTAGTTTCAAATCTTTATCATTGTTGCCTGGGAAAAAAAGAAAAATCATAATAAAAAGAATTATTCCTGAGAATTCTAAAGTCAAAACTAAAATTTTAAAACCAACCTGGAAAATATGAAAAGTTAGGGTTCCCGAATGTCCATCATCTGGCCCCCAGATGATTTCTCCTGGGGAAGGTCTTGGTCTGTGCAATTCGTTGCCTCCCTGTTT